ATGGCCGAAAAAGGCCATATCGACACCTTACCTGCCAGATCTGATTGGTCTGTGTCATAACGCACTTTTTTGACAAGATTTCGGAGGGTAGAAATAGTGAAAGTGGCGTCTTTACCGAAGAAGAAGAAGTGGAATGTAGTGATAGTAGAGAATGGTAGAATATGTCATGACATACCATTATGCCATAATGAATTTGCAAGTTTATATATGTGAATTTGGAAAGCATATTAAAGAATGGGCTTGATCATGCATATTTTGTGTACATGATATATATATATATATATATATATATAGCCTTGATTTAGTAAATGAGAATATGAAAGAATATGTTAGCAAAGAATGAGAAAGAAAGAAAAGAAAATGACTAATAATTTTCTTTTAAGCTAACATGCAAGTATGTATATTTTCTCATTTACTAAAGAATGCAAGTGTAGAATTTCTTTGGGATCGGAATCTCCCGCTCAACAAGAATCCAACGGAATCACAAGCAAAAAAAAAAATAAAAAAAAAAAAAATCTTTTGAAAAAGTCATTATATGATATGAAAATAAGTATAAAAAGCTTAGGCTAAAAAAGTCGAAACTCTCCCAAAATAGTAAATTAAAATCATAAGAAAGGGCAAAAACAAGATGGTTTCAAGTAAAAAAAATGCAATAAAAATGATATGGCTATTGTGGGGCTAAAAAATCAACCATAGTCATAAAAGAACATGTGTTCTGACCTATTTGATTAGTCATAAAAGACAGTTTCGTCTATATATACTTTGGAATATTATACTCGTATTTATATGATGGTTTTATTAAGAAATATATGTCACCCATATTCGAACACTTGCATGAAGGCCTGTAATATTATTGAAGGTTGGGAAGTTCGAAGGTGGGATTGTGGAAGTGTTATGCTGACCGTAACCACCTTTGTAGTACTGTCCCCATCCAGACATCAATTAGTATTTATATTTGGCCTCATTTGTGCAATGAGATGGTCCGTACTACCGCATTGTGGTAGCACGGGATGTGAACTCGATTCATCATCTCTTGTGGTTTCCCGGGCATATTCCATGTCACTCTTTCATTCTCTGGCTTGCTTCTCTTGGTCGGCTTCACACCATGGACCGGCTTAGCTCTCATGGTGTCTCTATATAAGTTTTTCATAAGTATGGGCACATTAACTACATAATCTTCTTTTTCACAAAGCATTTTCCTTGGGTAAGAAGGGATGGATGCTCATTCTGCTCTAGTTCCTTAAAACTTTGATTTATGTCAGTGCAAAAGTGTTATTTCAAAAATTTAGGTAGTAGGGTATGCTATTTCTACTGTTATACTCTATTGTACGTGACTATGTAATTGAATTAATTGAGTTGATGATACAACTATCTTTTGTTTATTGTCAGGTTAGTTCTTTGTCTGGTAACTTTATATTAAAAGAATATGTTAAGCATCCTGTGGACTTGTATTCGGCTCTAGAATAGTTAATTTTATTCCCAGTTGTGTAAATATTTTATGATGGTTGAGTTAAAGTTTATATCTTTCTTGTTTATTGTAGATCTTTCTAATTATCTTTTCTTTTTGCAAACTTAACAAATTCTTTGATCGTTCATTCTGTGTTATTACAGAAGCAATATTTTGCATGATCTGTGAAGTGTGAAGTATCTATTCCTTTTTGTATCAGGATCAGGGGAATGGTTCAATAACATTGTTAATGTTTCTGTTTGTTGACTGATTTTCCATGATTTGGTTCTCATAAATTTGTCTGTGTTTTATTTGATCAGTTAGAGATGTAAGTAGTAAGTTTTGGTGTAATGGTTGGCCAGCTGATCTGAATTTAATTAGAAAGTGAAGTTTGTTGTTGAAGGAGAAATGGTAAGGGTGTTGGTGGGTATTTTTTTGTTAATTTTATAACTTTTATTGAGAAAGGTAATTGTTAATGTTTTAAGTTGAATAGAATAGGATTGAATTTTGAAGAGAATTTTGAATATTGAAACAAATATGTATTTGGATAGGATAGGGTGAAAATGTTGTACCAAACAGAGCCAATGTATTTGCTATTACCATGACTGATACTATATTTTGATGCCATTACAGGATCAGTTACAGGATCAGACACACAAAGAACAGCAATTCCATAGTGGCATGACTTAGTAAGGTGACCATACCTAAATTTTTGTCGCAAAATCTGTCTTTTGGGTGAACACAAAGAAGAAAATGAAAGATTGGTTTAAAATTCATCTGAGAAGTTTTTGTATGTAAAATTGTTATATAGTTTCTATTATTTAAATTTTCGATACTTTATTCTTGAAAATGTTAGGATTCTCTTTAAGTTGATAGTTTAGACATCTTTTTATATCACAACATATGAAATCATTTCAAGTAGATAGATTGGTAATATGGAGAGTTTGGACCTTATGCTTGAATAATTGATGACAAATCATCAGAATTAATTTGAATCAAGACCAAAAAAAGCTATAGAACGATCAAGAAAACAAACACAAATTGCACACATTAACACGATTATTTTCAATTTTTCATAAAACAAAACAAAGAAGAAGAAGAAGAATTTGATTACTGTTTTCTTGCATGGAGAAGCCGTTTTTGAGAGAAATTGGAGGGAAATTGCCACTGAAATTGAGATGAACGAGTCGTGAGAAATTAGAGGGGAGAAATCAGAACCGGTGAGTGGAGTGGAGTTCGAGGAAGAGTTGAAGAAGAGAAGAGAGAGTTGGTGAAAGCCATGGAAGGAAACTTGAGAGAATTGGAAGGAAATGTTTTTGGTGTCGTTTGTGTTTTGGCTTTTCGGGTGAGTTGAAGAGAACTGAAGTTTTTTTTGGTAGACGATAGCTGGTGGTGGTGGTGGTAGACGACAGACAACGGCGATTCAAATTTGATTTTGGGAGAGATTTGATTTAGGGGAAGGAGAGCAATTTCAATTTTAGGGTTTCAATTTTGGGAGAGATTTTTTATCTAGGGGAAGGAGAGTTTGAATTTAGGGAAAATAATTTAGGGAAAGACATCATATTCGGGTGCCTATAGCAATCCCCACATTAGCTTATTTAAGTGCCGGAGTCTCATTTGTTTTGACTCCAACCATTGCTACCATGTGGCCTTTCTGCTTCAAACATTGACTGAGAATACCCGGGTTAGAAAGGGGAAGTTCCCAATCACATAAATTTATCTACCAATTCTTGCCTTTTTTTTTCTTTTTTGGTGAACTTTCGAAAGTCTTTAGCTTCAAGTACCAATTTATCTAAGTCGGAAAGCAATCCAAAATCAAGATCTATGCCTTCCATATTCGCCACCTTATCTTCTGAAATTAGTTTGACACCAATACCGGCTTTTCTGCAAGCCTCTATTGCTTTTCTTGTCTCTGTCCAACATATATGCTTCAGACCAAGTAGCCCAATCAATGTTAAGCTGTTATCTTCAAACGATGAAGCATTATAAGCAATTGCTATAATTTTTAGTTGTTTAGACGACATACACTCAACAACTCGCTCAAAATCTGAGAGACGTCTACAGATCTCATTTGCGGCTGGAATGATTTTAAAAATTTACCTCGGTTCATAAAAGTTGAAGAGGTTTATTCCAATTCTCATCCAACAGAATGAAGAAAGAACACTGAAACTTAGAAACATGCTCATCGTTTCTAACCAGGTAATTGAATTTATTTTTCTACACATTGAATTTGTTTCAAGAGGCTCCAACATAAATGTACTTGTGATTAATTATATTTCATCACTGTTACGCCAAACAGGGTGCATTGGCATTGTCTTAGATTACATATTTATTCAAAAAAGAAAATATGTAATCTAATTAACAACTAGTTGCCTAGTTGTTTCACCCTCGTCACTGTTTGACTATGAAGATGTGATTTGTAATCTACCAATCACTGTGAAGAAAATCACTTATCCTATTTTCTTCACAGTGACTCCCAACTAGTTGTTAATTAGATTTTGGGAGAATATCAAGCCAAGGAAGAAAACATGATTAACTATCTGAAGAAAGCTAAGGTCACACTCGAGCCTTTCAAGCACTTCACTATCAAGCAAATCCTGAGAGACAGTAACTTTATTGCAGACGCCTTGGCAAGAATAGCCTTATCGCTAGACTCAAATATGCCGGAAAGTATTCCAGTTTGGTACATAGAGATTCCTAGTATCAGCTCGCCTGAGCAAACCATAGCTACAACATTATCAACTCACACAATGTAATGAACACATTATTAGCGTTAAAGGAAAACGCTATCAGAACCATAGAAAATCTCAAATACTGTTTGGGTTTTATACAGTCACTTTCATAGAGACAGCTAGACAGACTTTGACCTTGGCTCAAGGACATTTGGGGCCTAAGGCCAAAACTCTAAAAATAGGATAATTCATATAGAATCCACTTATTATTAGTTTATTCTTTTACTAAACATATTTCATTTAAAGTTCATTCTACATCATTTAAAGTTCATGATAACGTTATTGAAAATTCTATATTTTGCAATTTAACTAACTTTTCAGTCTACCTTAACTTTTTCTTATGTTTTTTATATAAAAATTCTGTTAGACATGCTGAAGATTCAAAATTAACTGGAAACAAACATTTAATAAATAAGCATACACAATAAATAAAAATGGTAATCCTAATTTGAAATAAACAATACAATAACAAAAATACACAATAATTTTAGAACTGAAGTTGTAAAATACACTCATCGCATAATAAGGTGATGCAAATAGGACTCATTATGTTTTGTAAATCAATTAGCATCATAAGAGGGTATCAAGTGTTGATAAATTTACATATAATTGATGTATTAAGGTAGAATGAATCTGCCCAGATCTATTTGAACATGGAACATTCAAATAAATACTTGATAACAATATTAATATCACAATGATTGTTTTTAATCGTTATATCTCATCGAATAATAATTCTTTATTTTATTTTATTTTATTCTTCACAACCTCTTTTATTCTCTTCTCGTTGCTGATCCATACCTCTACAAATGATTATGGCTATGGCGACAACCTTGAGGATGACGAACCAAAGTCTCAAGAACCAAAGTCTAAAGCTTACAAGCCACAACTTGAAGACCATAACTATGCACCCAAGTCTGAAGCTTACAAGCCATAACTCGAAGACAATGCCAATGCACCCAAGCTCGATGCTTACAAGCCATAACTTGAAGACAATAACTATACACCCAAGTTTGGAGCTTACAAGCCACAATATGAAGATAATAACTATTGACTCAAGTCTAAAGCTTACAAGCCACAACCCGTTGACAATAACTATGCACCCTAAAGCTTTCAAGCCACAACTTGAAGACAATAACTATGCACCCAAGTTCGAAGCTTACAAGCCACAACCTGAAGACAATAACTATTCACCCAAGTTCGAAGCTTACAAGCCACAACCTAAAGAAAACGCTTATTCACCCAATCCTGAAGGTTACAAGCCACAATCTGAAGACAGTGCTTATGCACTAAAGCCTAAAGCTAACAAGCCACAACCCAAAGATAACGCCTATGCACCCAAGCGAAAAGCTTACAAGCCACAATCTGAAGATAACAGCTATGCACCCAAGCTTGAAGCTGACAAGCCGCAATTCAAAGATAACGGCTATGCATCGAAGCCAGAAGATGGCAAGCCACAACCCGAAGATAATGGCTATGTACCCAAGCCAGAGTGTTAGGATCCCACATTGAAAGGAAAAAGGGTGGGCGTGTAGGTTATAAAGGCTTGGGCACTCTCCCTTGGCAAGTTGGTTTTCCAAGGAGAGTTCTGCCCAAGCCCATGAAAGACCCATGGGCCAGCCCAAAATTGTTGAGTTATTAGAGTTAGTTCCTATCAATTTGTATCAGAGCATGATCCTACGCCTATGTGGTAGGCTGACCTTGGACCCAGGCTGATACCTCGAGAAAGGGCATGGAGGCCTGAGAGAAAGGAGATTCGCATAGTCACCCAAGGGGTAAAGAAGCCGACGTGGACGTTGGTTGTGGAAGCGTGGTGGAATGTTAGGATCCTACATTGAAAGAGAACATGGTGGGCATGTGGGTTATAAAGGCTTGGGCACCCTCCCTTGGCAAGTCGGTTTTCCAAGAAGAGTTTTACCCAAACACAGCAGGTTTCCAAACACTCCCATTTAGAGCCAAGAAGAATGTTGTAACGTAATACATTGTATCTATTTTTCAATTGTTAGTTTCTTTTACAAGTTTCATATATGTTTGACTAAGGATATTGTTAATTAATGTCAGTTAATGACGGGTATTTTAGCAAAACGAACAAAGTAGTGGCCTTGCATGTGGAACATTATTTTTCGAATGTAATATTAGATTTTGCTCAAATGTATGTATTACCAGTGTTAGCAATATGTAATCTCTGAGTCGAGGCATAAGTAGTGGCGGAGCTACCATAGGACCAAGATAAGCAATTGCACATCTTTGAATTCTAGAAATTTTGACTATCACTTGTCCTCACACAGACAATACATGGCCAAATCAGCTTATTAATACATGACATGATTATCCTCGTGTTTATCACCATATGAACAGTATGCGTTTATGCAGAATCCAACTGTGATATCTCAGGTCTAAGGATTAATAATATACTAGTACGATCTTATGATGCATCATTGACTACATTTTAAATGTCCATGTGATTCATCATAAATGGTCATATTCGATCGATAAACAGTTCACTAACCACTTATCCATGATATTCTATGGAGGCATTCAGCATGCCTACTATTGAATTGTTTTACCCGTAGTTTGATTATGACCTCTTGACTATTTCTTAAATAAGTTTTCGAGAGTTGTAGAGGTATATACATCATGTACTGTACATTTAACCAATAAATTTCTATAAAGGAAAAATATACTTCATCTTCTGTCATCACATTTACCACCAACAATGAAGATAGCTGAGCTTGTGTTCATCCCTGGACCAGGCGCTGGCCAACTAGCTTCCCAAATTGAGTTTGCAAAGCGCTTGTTAGATCGAGATGAACGTTTCTCAGTGACTGTTCTTCGCATGGATTCTCCTTTTGGCACCTCTCTTACAGCTGCATGCACCAAATCACTTGCAGAATCTATTATTTCAATAAGGTTAATCAATCTTCCTCCTCCTGTAGACTTCTCTTTCAAGTAGTATTTCAGATGGGACTTGCAGGGAAGATAAGAGAGAGAGAGAGAGTCTGTGAAGGAATTGCTTTATCCAATACGTTTATTGAAAAGCTCTCAAAAACCCCAACTTTGATTTTTCTTTCTATCATCTGATTCTGATCCAATCTGTACTTTGGTTTGAAACAGCTAATTCCTTATTACAGTTGATAGAAACCACATAATATCAAAATTATGTGAACTCTAAACCATATAGCAAGAATCATCAAACCACATTTCTAACACCTCTAGAATCAACAATATTTCTAGCACCTCCAAATTTATCAACACTTCCAGCACCTCCAAAATTAACAACATTTCTAGCACTTCCAAATATATTAGTAACAGCTAAGTGGGCAGAACTATTATATAGGTCAACTGCATTAAATTTCTCCAATATAATTTCGTACTTTTGGAGGAGAAATTGAGCCTCCTAGAGAGTTACAAAGTCAACGTTTGATTCAAATCCGCAATTCCACCTTTTTCCTTTCCCTAATTGCGACAGCCTCAAGCCCTCACTCAGACACTCGCATCACAGATTCGCAGTTCACACTTCAATCTTCACAGCCCTAATTTTTTCTGCAGTTTTGAGCTTGCTCAACGACAGCCCCAGCGCCTCAACAGTCAACACTCAGCAGTTAGGCGGGGATAACCATTGAGAGGTTTATCCGGATGTCACCTTCAAGATCCTAAAGAATTAGTTGAGATATGCACAAATTGACCCAGAAACCTCCGATAAAAAAAATAAAAAATAAAAAATATTTTGGCGGGTTATAAAGTCTTACATCGCCATCTATTTAAAGGAGGGACGACCCAATGCTTAAAGTAGTTTATTTCTTAGCACACCCCACTACTTAACTAAGCACACTTTTTATTACAAAATTGGTTATCAAAATATAGTGGGAGAATATATAAGCTACCCTCAAGGTTTACAAATTTATCATTTAGATGACAATTCCACATCTGATTGTAACAGACCCTCAAATTTTGAAAAATGTATCAATGATAATCCTCCTTTAATAAACCCTCAAAGTTTAAAACCTCCATCACTCATACCCCTTTNCACCAGCAACAATGAAGAAAGTTGGGCTTGTTGTCATCCCTGCACCAGGAGTAGGCCACCTGGTTTCCACTATCGAGTTGGCAAAGCGCTTGTTACATGGAGATGATCGTTTCTCAGTCACTGTTCTTCTCATGGATTCTCCTGTTTGCAGCTCCCTTTCAACTGCATATATCAAATCACTTGCAGAGTCTTATTTCTTCAATAATGTTCATGGATTCTACTTTCTGCCAGGGGTTCATAACTAGTACTGTCTCTTCACCTTACTGCGTAACAGTGAGAAAGTATGACTTTAATGATGTGAAATATCTCAAATAATTAAATGTGTAGCATCCAAGAAGTAACCATTACCATGAAACTAAGCACCAATAAAGAAAGCTGAACTATTCTTGTCACGAAGCCACCTAATTTTGACTCTCATCACGAAGTACTTCCCATTCCCTAAATCACTTGCATTCTCAAAATTAAACTAAGTGGTTTGAAATTGGATTTGTCTCACGTCCCTAGATTAGTGGGTTATATATATATATATATTCCCATTCAAGGTTTCGCAAGTGGCCAAGTTCTCACCCTAGGTTTCATAAATTTTATATTCCCATTCTTAAATTAATTTAAGACTGGAAATCTGAAATTTATGAAACTAAGGGTGGATAAACCTTAGATGGGAACATGTCGTTTACTCTATATATAATTGGGCTTCCTCAGTTCATTTGTGAAAATGAGTTATATCCAAATTCATTTAACATATTAATTAATACCTGATCTAATACTTGTACATTACATAAAGTTATTTACTTCGTTAAAAAGTCACGATTGTCAATCAACAGAGGCAAAATGTAATATGTCTATGTAACTATTATTCAAAAAGCATCTTCTGTGGCATAGGTAGCGGCAACTAAAGTATTGTAAAACTTAAATAAATAATCATTTATTGGACATTGGACATAAATAATTTATTACATTAGCATGTTTAACATGATTTTATAGAAGACTTGATCTAGATGAGTGTCTACATTTCTCACTCATCTGGAATAAACCCAAGAAAAGAAATATAGTTCAATCTTCACTCATCACAACCACCACCAACAAAATGAAGAAAGCTGAGCTTCTGTTCATCGCTCCACCAGTCACAGGCCACCTTGTTCACCAAATTGAGTTTGCAAAGCCATTGTTAGATCGAGATAATCATTTCTCGGTGACCGTTCTTCTCATGCATTCGCCTTCTACTGTAGCTTTTCTTGGCCTACTGTTAAACCTTCCGGGTAGACATAAACAGGGAGGCAAAGAATTTGAAAAGTTTGATGTTGGTTTTGTACAGTTCCTAGCAGAGCTTTTCCTACATATTTGTTTGAATAAGCATGCAACGCCCCAAATCCAATATAAAAAAATTGCATACCAGTTTGAGACGATACTCAATTACTCAAATACCAAAAAACTAATATCTAAAATTCTAATAAAATTATTAATCGCAAAGGAAACTTATTCTCCAAACCAAAACATTAAATATTCAAATCTTCAAGGTCTTACAAATCAAATAAGTCAAAATTTGGGTAGAGTTGTCAACTCGATATAGTAAAAATCATACATAATATAAGTTTGTATAACATTTAATATGCACAGGAATAAAAATATTAACAGAACTTCAGATATCAAGACAAATATATCATTTCATATAATTTTATTTTTACTTTAGAACTTACATAAAGTATTCACATCATTTATATATCAACATATTTTCATTTAGAATTCATGTCACGTAGTGTGACCTATATTCCCACTGGTCGGGTTTAGGGGTGAAAACTAAGCGGCTTGGCTCGGCTTTGGCTCGAATTCGACTTGGCATTAGTCAAGTCAAGTTCGAGTTTGAATATCTCGATTAATCCCACGAGTTGAGTTCGATCACTGTACAAAAAACTCGATTAAAACTCGAACTCGGTACTATAACAATCGAGTCGAGTTCGAGTGCTTAGATAAAAGAACATAGATTTCAAAGAACTTGGTAAAGAAGTAAAACCTGTATGAGAAATATTCAGACGCTCACAATTCCCAACTTGGTAAAGAAGTAAAACCAGTGTAGCTTGCATTAACAAACAACTGACTCAAATTTGTTGTGACATGAGCAGTGGCTCTTGAGCTGGTGCACCAAGCTGGTTCTCTGACTGTAGCTGGAATAGTTGTTGCATAATTATTAGAAACATTGTGAGTAGACAAAGAGGCTTAAATTGAGGAATTATAACCTTGAGCCGGAGAAACTTGGTGTGAAATCATAGCTGGTGAGACATTGCATGCTTGAAGGGCAGGTGGGCCAGACCCAAAACGGGTCGATCTAAATGAGGCCAAAATACTGGACCCGCCTGCTACCCTATGGGGGTACGGTGGACCCACGGTTACCCATACTGTTCATTTCAGTTTTCAATTTTTGAAATCACAGCCCCACAATTTCTGCAATTATTATATTTTACAATTACACCCCCA